TTGCCGAAGCTGGTCTCTAATTCCAGGGCCCAGGTTGGAGTGTAACGGCACACTGTAACCTCTGCCTGTCAGGTTCAAGCAATTCTCCTGCCTCAGCCTCCCAAGTAGCTGGGACTACAGGCATTTGCTGCTATGCCTGGCTAATTTTTTTGTGTGTATTTTTAGTAGAGACGAGGTTTTACCATGTTGGCCAAGCTGGTATTGATCTCCTGACCTTGTGATTGGCCCGCCTCCGCCTCCCAAAGTGCTGAAATTACAGGCGTAAGCCACCTCGCCCAGCCTAGAACGCTAATTTTTTTTTTTTTTTTTTTTTGAGACAGAGTCTTGCTCTGTCGCCAGGTGCCAGGCTGGAGTGCAGTGGTGCGATCTCAGCTCACTGCAACCTCTGCCTCCTGGGTTCAAGTAATTCTCCTGCCTCAGCCTCCAGAGTAGCTGGGACTACAGGCACGTGCCACCATGCCCAGCTAATTTTTTTATTTTTTAGCAGAGACGGGGTTTCACCATGTTGGCCAGGATGGTCTTGATCTCTTGACCTCGTGATCTGCCTGCCTCAGCCTCCCAAAGTGTTTGGATCACAGGTGTGAGTCACCGCATCCAGCCAGAACTCTAATTTTTTATGGTGATTTTCCTCCACTACCAGCAAGTCCTTAGGGAAGGTAACTCACAGATCCAACAGAGAGTAAATGGTGATTGGTCTAAGCTAATATTGGTGGTCATATTCTCTTTGGTATTTATTGGCTTATCCATGATACTTGAAGGGAAGTCTATTAACTCCTAAGAAAAATCATAGTTTATTCTACATATGAGAGGAGATGTTTAGCTGGCAGTTAGATATGTAAGTATGAAATTCAGTATGGAGATATAATTTTGAGGCTATCACAGCATAGATAATATTTAACTAATGTGATGGAATAAGATTACCAAGGAGTGTACATGGAAAAGATAAAAAGTCTAAATATTGAGCTGTGGGGTACTACAGTAATTAGAGGTCAGAGAAATGAGGAGAAACTAGGAGTAGCCAGTGAGATAGAAGACCCGAGGGAGTGGAATGTCATGGTAGCCAATGAGGGGGAAGTAATGAGTTGTGTCTAGTGATGTGGTAGGTCAGGTAACACGAGGATTGAGAATTGACTGGTGTCAGCAAATGGACATCACTAGTGACCTTGACAAGAGCATTTCAGTGGAGTGGAGGAGGTAAAAGCTTAACTGGAGAGGATCTCACTGAAAATGAAAAAAAGGAAGTCAAGACCAGACGAGGTGGTTCATGCCTGTAACCTTAGCATTTTAGGAGGTGGAGGCAGGTGGATTGCTTGAGCTCCGAGTTCGAGACCAGCCTGGGCAACATGATGAACTCCATCTCTACAAAAAATACAAAAATTAGTTAGACGTGGTGGCACATGACTGTAGCCGCAGCTACTTGGGAAGCTGAAGTGAGCTGAAGTGGCACCACTGCATTCCAGCCTGGGCAACAGAGTGAGACCATGTACGAGCCACCTTTGTGAGGCATTTTGCAGAAAAGAGAATGGAGAAATAGGGCAGTGGTTTGGGGGCAGGGAGATCAAGTCCAGTCAAGAGAGGGTTTTTTTGGTTTGTTTGTTTGAGATGGAGTCTCACTCTGTCACCAGGCTGGAGTGCAGTGGCATGATCTTGGCTCATTGCAACCTCCACCTCCTGGGTTCAAGCGATTCTCCTGCCTCAGCCTCCCAAGTAGCTGGTACTACAGGCATGTACCACTATGCCCTGCTAATTTTTATGTTTTTAGTAGAGACGGGGTTTCACCATGTTGGCCAGGATGGTCTCGATCTCTTGACCTCGTGAGCTGCCTGCCTTGGCCTCCCAAAGTGCTAGAATTACAGGCGTGAGCCACCTCGCCCAGCCAAGAGAGGGTTTTTTGTTTGATAGTTTTGAAATGGAAGAAATAAATACATGTTGCTATAGCAATGAGAAGTAACAGAAAAATAGTGATGTAGGAGAGAGGAAGAATTGCTGGATAAGTGTCTTTGAGATAGTGACATGGTATAAGACATAGTTCTTGAACTTCTCAAAGTGTGATGAGTGGAGTAGTGACCATCTAGAAATGGTTTGTCACCAGTTTGTGACAGTAATTCAGAATTAGTATTTTGAAACCTTTATAACAATTTGCCAGAAAAATTTTGTGTGTGTTGGATTTAATAATACAAATTCTGCCTAGAGTAGTCAAATTCATAGAGATAGAAAGCAGAACAGTGGGCCGGGCGCGGTGGCTCAAGCCTGTAATCCCAGCACTTTGGGAGGCCGAGGTGGGTGGATCACGAGGTCAAGAGATCGAGACCATCCTGGTCAACACGGTGAAACCCCGTCTCTACTAAGAATACAAAAAATTAGCTGGGCATGGTGGTGTGTGCCTGTAACCCCAGCTACTCAGGAGGCTGAGGCAGGAGAATTGCCTGAACCCAGGAGGCGGAGGTTGTGGTGAGCCGAGATCGCGCCATTGCACTCCAGCCTGGGTAACAAGAGCGAAACTCCCTCCCAAAAAAAAAAAAAAAAAAAAGGAAAGCAGAACAGTGATGGCCAGGGATTGTGGCAAGTTAGGAATGGGGAGTTTGAGTACACGCTTTCAGCTTTGGAAGATAAAAAAATTATGAAGGCCAGGCACATTGGCTCCCGTCTGTAATCCCAGCACTTTAGAAGTCTATGGCAGAAGGATTACTTGAGCCTAGGAGTTTGAGACAAGCCTGGGCAGCAGGCTTTAATGTAGAGGCTCTGTCTCTACATTAAAAAAAAAAAGCCAGGTGTGGTGTTATGTGCCTATAGTCCTAGCTGCTACAGAGGCTGAGGTGGGAGGATCACTTGAGCCCAGGAGTTTGAGGTTGAGTGAGCCGTGATTGTGCCACTGTACTTCTGATGGGTGACAGGGCAAATAAATAAATAAATAAATGAAAAAGAAAAAGCTCTGGAGCTTCTTGATGGGGATGGTTGCACAACAATGTGAATGTATTCAATGCCACTGAACTGTACACTTTAAAATGGTTAAGCCCATTTAAAAAAACCTCGGCCTAGGCCTGGCGCGGTGGCTCACGCCTGTAATCCCAGCACTTTGGGAGGCCGAGGCGGGTGGATCACGAGGTCAAGAGATCAAGACCATCCTGGTCAACATGGTGAAACCCCGTCTCTACTAAAAATACAAAAAATTAGCTGGGCATGGTGGTGCGTGCCTGTAATCCCAGCTACTCAGGAGGCTGAGGCAGGAGAATTGCCTGAACCCAGGAGGCGGAGGTTGCGGTGAGCCGAGATCGTGCCATTGCATTCCAGCCTGGGTAACAAGAGCAAAACTCCGTCTCAAAAAACTCTGCTTTGATACTCTTTCTGCCTTCAAAAAAACAAAAAGAGTGAAGCTTTCATTTTGGATGCTTGTTTTCAAATTTTAATTTTTTTCTAGTCATTAATTTTGATTGTAATTAACAGAAATTTAGGTTTGTGGTCAGTGATAAAACCTGGGTCTTTTAGCACAGATTCTTGAGAACTGAGGAGGGTTTGACGTTAGCTAAAAGACGAATAATTAATTCACTCGTAGTAAGGAAAGGAAGGCAGAAAGAGTATCAAAGCAGAGGTAACAGGTTAGTTCAAAGTCATGGTGAGTGCTGAGAACTTGTAGATATTCTTTTTGGTTTGTTTCATTTTCTTGTGAATTGGAAGCAAAATCATCAGCTAAATGAGGATGAGGGAGGAAGTGTTGGTGGTTTTTTTTCTTTTTTCTTTTTTTTTTTTTTTTTTTTTTTTTCTGAGACGGAGTTTCGCTCTTGTTACCCAGGCTGGAGTGCAATGGCGCGATCTCGGCTCACCGCAACCTCCACCTCCCAGGTTCAGGCAATTCTCCTGCCTCAGCCTCCTGAGTAGCTGGGATTACAGGCACACACCACCATGCCCAGCTAATTTTTTGTATTTTTAGTAGAGACGGGGTTTCACCATGTTGACCAGGATGGTCTCGATCTCTTGACCTTGTGATCCACCCGCCTCGGCCTCCCAAAGTGCTGGGATTACAGGCGTGAGCCACTGCGCCCGGCCAAGTGTTGGTGGTTTTAAGAGACAGGAGACTTGAAATAGTTATGTAGCAAGGTGGGAGAGTGTGTGATACTGGAGAAATGCGGTAGTGTAGCCACGCATGATGGCCCCTTGAGAATAATGATCTCAAATTTACCGGGAGTCAGTCAACCACTTTTGGCTTTTTCTTCACCCACTCCACTGCTGGAGTTCCGTCAGTACAAAGAAAGCAGAGAACGACTGGATCCATAAAGGTAATACTGAAGAAATCGACTTCATATACCTCATGTACTCGCTTTCTTCCCGAAACAGCTTAGATTCTATTAGATTCCATTTCATGATGGACAATAGAATCTAAGCTGTTTCAGGAAGATAGTGAGTACGTGAGGACTGTGTGGGGAAGAATAGCGAAAGGTAGCTGGATCAATGGATTTGGGGTCTTGGGGTTGAAGTTTTTGGAGTTGGAGTATTATCACAGAGAGTGAACTAGAAAGGAAGTAGGTTGTGATGGGAGTTAGAGGATTAAAATTGAGATTGTCGAGGAGTTACAGTTATTCGTATGAGCATGAGAGTGAGAGGCTGAGCCAAGAATGATTCCTACAGAAGGATCTGAGAGGCCAGAGGATTGGAAGAATTAGCGAATGTTGAAATCACTGAGAATTATGACAATAGTAGTAATGAATAACAGTGTACTAGAAGCCCAAATCTTAAAGAATGATGGTGAGTGACAGAGGGGTCTATAGGTGACGGAAGCGAGAGGTGTTGTAATCTCTTGTCATGATGTAATATTTAAAGCTCTTCATATTTTGAAGGGAGGCTAGGATTCGGGGGTGTGTGGCTCCTTTAAGAGCCGGAGAAGGGGAGAAGCTGGAGTTCAGGCTGGGGGGGGCGGGACCCCTCGGCTGAGTCTGCGTATTGAGAGTGGAGGCGGGGCCAAGCTCGGGCTCGCGCGCCCGGGCGGGTCCTCGCGGGGGCGGAGTCTGCACTCTGGTTCGGGCTGCGGCTGCGGCTGCTGCACTTCTATCTTCTGAGGGAAAGAGGCCGAGGCCTGGGCCAAGCCCGGAGCCGCCGCTCCCCGGAGCCTCCTGGAGCCTCCGCGCAGGCTCAGCCTGGGGGCGGGCTCCGGTCCGGCCCGCCGCCGCATCCAGGACGGAGGCTGCACGCCCGAGGACCAGGCCGGCGCAGCCATGGTGAGGGAGCGAGGCCTGCCCCAGCCGCAGCCGCCCGCCACCCTAGCCCCCGCCTGCCGCGCTAGCCCTTGCAGGCATGCCCCTCCCTGTCTCTGGTGTCCTCTCGGCCTCTCTGTCTTTACCTCTCTCCCTCGTAACCTCCCTCTCGGTGTCCAGCTCCTCCTTCCCCGTGCTCCCTCATCCACCTGCTGGGGTGAGCCCCTTTCGGTGACACCCCCTGAATCTCCCTTCTCCCCAGTGACATCCTTTTTGTCATCACCAGTGACAGCCTTTTTCGCATTCCCTTTGTCACCCACTCCTCGTCCTTTAACCCTAACTCTTCCTTCCTTTCTCCTTTATCATTTTGCCTTTTTTTTCCTCTTATGTGATTTTTACTTTTCCCCCCTTTCCTCCCTATTTTTGGCTGCTCTTTCTTGCTCTTCTCACCCCTCTTCACCATTTTATCTCCACTGCCCCCTCCTTCCGTGTTCCTTCGTCCTCTCCCATCCACGTTTCCTCTTCCCTTATCGGATGTCCTCGCTCGGCTCGCTTTCACAGCTGTCCCCATTTCCTTCTACGGGCTTCAGGGGTCTAAGCAGGAACAATTTGAGGACTGTTGCCTCCCGGGAGGTGCAGGGCGGGCAGATAGGAATTTGTAGGCTTGCTTCTTCCTTTCCGTTTTAGGAGGCATTGAAGAGCTCTTGGAATCCTGTTACCTAGTGTCATTGCAAAACCTGAGTGGTGGTGTGTTAGAGCCACGAAGTGAGGGCCAGCATGCATACTGTGACCTTAGGAGAGAGCTAGTCTTTTGATAGAAATAGCTTAAAATTGTTTCGAAAAAAAAATTTTTTTTTTTTTTTGAGCATCTTTTAATGTGGAGGTACTGTTGGGGAAATTTTAAAATACTTATTTACAAGCTTGACTGTTATTACCTAAAACAAATGATTTGTTTTCATTTGGAGGCAGAGACCAAGGGCATTTGAGAACTGACAATCAGCTTGGCAGGTTGTGATAGAAGTCTCTTTAAACCTTCTAAAGAGTTCATTTGTTTTGCCCTCTCTGCCTTTAGTTGGGAGAACCTCATATTTGCAAATTTTCTTCTTTATGTTTGAAAACAAGTTGAGGCTTCAGTTGGTTTTTTTCGTTGAGTTGGCTTATAAGTGGTTTGCTGTACATTTATTGAAAACATTGCTCCATCATATGCAACAAGCTAAATTTTGGGTCTCTGGAAGGAATAAGACATTCTAGTCAAAACCAAGTCCTGATAATCATGTTTTCCTACTTTGTTTTTTTTCCCTCCACCTGTTTTTTAGAAAAATGATTTACTATAAAGTTATTTAATCTATGAATTTTCCCTTACTTCCTCCTGCATTTTTAGGTTGTCATTTTCCTGTCTCCTTCACTTTCGCACACTGTCATTGTATTAATATACAATGTTAATTAATATACAATATTAATATACAATTAATATACCTGTTTCTCCCTGTGGAATATAAGTTCTAGGTGGTAACCGTGTCTTACTTATTCCAAGTGCTCAGGCCAGCTAGGTGCTTAAATGATTCCCTTTATATTCTCATTTCCCACATGACTAGTATAAACTCAAACTGAAATTTGAGGTAACTAGGGACTACACAGAAAGAGTGAGTATGGGAATCGTTGTTTAGAGACGGCCTTGGTCTGTGGCCCAGGCTGGAGTGCAGTGGCACAGTCATGGCTTTCTGCAACCCTGAACTCCTGGGCTCAAGTGATCCTCCCACCTCAGCCTCACAAGTGGCTGGTACCACCGGCATGGGCTACTGTGCCCCGCTAATTTGTAAAATTTTTTGTAGACATGGAGTCTCGCTGTGTTGCCCAGTCTGGTCTTAACCTCCTGGACTTAAGCCATCCATCCTCCCACCTTGACCTCTAAAAGTGCTTTAATTACAGGCATGAGCCATCATGCCTGGGCAGAGAATCTTTTTTTTTTTTTTGAGATGGAGTTTCGCTGTTGTTGCCCAGACTGGAGTGCAATGGCACAATCTCGGCTCACCGCAACCTCCGCCTCCTGGGTTCAAGCAATTCTCCTGCCTCAGCCTCCTGAGTAGCTGGGACTACAGGCACACACCATCATGCCCAGCTAATTTTTGTATTTTTAGTATAGACGGGGTTTCACCTTGTTGACCAGGATGGTCTCGATCTCTTGACCTCGTGATCCACCTGCCTCGGCCTCCCAAAGTGCTGGGATTATAGGCGTGAGCCACCGCGACGGGACGAGAATCTTAATTTTGGTGCAAAAATGATGTTAGGTGAGGTATGATGATGTACTCTCCAGAATAAAAAGCCATCCTACCTAAGACATCACATTGCTAGATTTTTGAAAGTGTGGGTCCTCAGGCCGGGTGCGGTGGCTCAAGCCTGTAATCCCAGCACTTTGGGAGGCCGAGGCCGGTGGATCACGAGGTCAAGAGATCGAGACCATCCTGGTCAACATGGTGAAACCCCGTGTCTACTAAAAATACAAAAAATTAGCTGGGCATGGTGGTGCGTGCCTGTAATCCCAGCTACTCAGGAGGCTGAGGCAGGAGAATTGCCTGAACCCAGCAGGCAGAGGTTGCGGTGAGCCGAGATCGTGCCGTTGCACTCCAGCCTGGGTAACATGAGTGAAACTCCGTCTCAAAAAAAAAAAAAAAGAAAGAAAGTGTGGGTCCGTCCATTGAGAATGAATTTGTGAGAGGGAGGAGTTACCGACTTTCTCTTCCTGTTCTCCATCATGGCGCAGGATCAAGGTGAAAAGGAGAACCCCACGCGGGAACTTCGCATCCGCAAGCTCTATCTCAACATCTGTGTTGGGGAGAGTGGAGACAGACTGACCTGAGCTGCCAAGGTGTTGGAGCAGCTCACAGGGCAGACCCCTGTGTTTTCCAAAGCTAGATACACTGTCAGATCCTTTGGCTTCCGGTGAAATGAAAAGATTGCTGTCCACTGCACAGTTCGAGGGGCCAAGGCAGAAGAAATCTTGGAGAAGGGCTTAAAGGTGCGGGAGTATGAGTTAAGAAAAAACAACTTCTCCGATACTGGAAACTTTGGTTTTGGGATTCAGGAACATATCGATCTTGGTATCAAATATGACCCAAGCATTGGTATCTACGGCCTGGACTTCTATGTGGTGCTGGGTAGGCCAGGTTTCAGCATCGCAGACAAGAAGCGCAGGACAGGCTGCATTGGGGCCAAACACAGAATCAGCAAAGAGGAGGCCATGCGCTGGTTCCAGCAGAAGTATGATGGGATCATCCTTCCTGGCAAATAAATCCCCGTTTCTATCCAAAAGGCCAATCAATAAAAAGTTTTCAGTGAAATGTAAAAAAAAAAAAAAAAGAGAGAGAGGGAGGAGTTACCAACTCCCCTTTTAGGTATTTAGGATCCCAAAGTGTCCTGGGATCCTAAATACCTGGGCCTGAAAGATGAATAGGATTTGTATAGATCATTTTGGGAAGGGGAAGAATGCTTCATTGTGAATGAGTAGCAAGTAGAAAGAGTGCTCTCACAGGGATTTTCTTTTTTAAAGAAAGTAGGAAGGAATTAGGATGCATTATAGGAAGTAGTATTACCCTTATATAGCATGGAAGGATGCAAGAATGAAGATGTGTAGTAGGAAATAAGACTAGGAAGATATTGTCTTAGCCCATTCAATCTATGGTAACAAAATACCATAAACTAAGTAGCTTGTCAACAACAGAAATTATTTCTCAGGCTTCGAAGTCCCAGATCAATTCCCCAGCAGATTCGATGTCTTGTGAGTGCTCTTCCTGATTCACCTTTTCACTGTTTTCACTCATGGTGGCAGGGGCCAGACCTAGAGCCTCTTTTTTTTTTTTTTTTTTTTGAGACGGAGTCTCTTTCTTTCGCCCAGGCTGGAGTGCAGTGGCATGATCTTGGCTCACTGCAACCTCCGCCTCCCAGGTTCAAGCAATTCTCCTGCCTCAGCCCCCTGAGTAGCTGGGATTACAGGTGTACGCCACCACCCCTGGCTAATTTTTTTGTGATTGTAGTAGAGATGGGATTTCACCATGTTGGCCAGGCTGGTTTTGAACTCCTGACCTCTGGTGATCTGCCCACTTCAGCCTCCCAAAGTGCTGGGATTATAAGCATGAGCCAACATGCATGGCCTTGGAGCCTCTTTTGTGAGGTTGTTAATCCCTTCATGTGGGCTCTACACTTGTGATCTAATCACCTCCCAAAGGCCTCATCTCCTCATGTCGTTACCTTGGGGGTTAGGATTCCAACATAGGAATTTAGGTAGACACAAGCGTTCAGACCATAGCAGACATATTAGGCGTGATTATGTTTTAGACTTGGTGTCTAATTAACTTGATTTTTCCTTGCTTGTTAAAACATGTACACACAGAGTAAGAGTGTATGTACAGGAGAGGGGAGGAGAAGGCAAAATATTAGTATGAGCTAGGAAGTATTGGTAAAGGCTACTTTTCCTCATGCAGTGTTTTTAGTAGATAATAAATATAGTTGAATGAGTGATTGTTATAAAGCTTCGCATTTTTGTTAAATGTTAATTAGGTTGTGTTTGAATGGTTGAGACATTTAAGATGAATTCTTGGCCGGGTATGGTGGCTCATGCCTGTAATCCTAGTACTTTGGGAGGCCAAGGCAGATGGATCACCTGAGGTTAAGAGTTCAAGACCAGCCCAGCATAGCCAATGTGACAAAACCCCATTTTTACTAAAAATACAAAAATTAGCTTGGTGGCCGGGCGCGGTGGCTCAAGCCTGTAATCCCAGCACTTTGGGAGGCCGAGGCGGGTGGATCACGAGGTCAAGAGATCGAGACCATCCTGGTCAACATGGTGAAACCCCGTCTCTACTAAAAATACAAAAAATTAGCTGGGCATGGTGGCGCGTGCCTGTAGTCCCAGCTACTCAGGAGGCTGAGGCAGGAGAATTGCCTGAACCCAGGGGGCGGAGGTTGCGGTGAGCCGAGATCGCGCCATTGCACTCCAGCCTGGGTAACGAGCGAAACTCCGTCTCTAT